AGGCTGGTTCAGGACTGGTTCAAAATTGGTTCAGACTGGTTCATTCTGGTCTAGTCTGGTTCAGTCTGGTTTGGTCTGGTTCAGCCTCTTTTGAACTGATTTGGACTGGTCTGGTCTGGTTCAACCTGGTCCGGTCTGGTTCAAGGCTGGTTCACACTATAAAAGAGGTTCTTTTCCTCTTTCTTTTCCTCCTCCTAGGACCGGCCACCTCTATCCCCTCTTTTTGGATTTTCTCTTCCCTCGAGCATCCGTTCTCCTTCAAATCTTCATATTTGTCTTAGATCTAGCCTTCCTTTGGATCTTAGACTGAAAAATCCCTCAAAAATCTCCATATAAAAATTTCTCTCAGGCCCCTCGAGCACGTGGTTCGAGCCTCTTTCAATATCTAATTTTTGTCGGATCCTTGAGCTTTCTTTTAGGTATATCCTCCATAATTTTAGCATATTTCATGCTTAATTCAATTTATGAATTTGTGGGATCGCATGTGAGGGTTATGATTATGATTTGGCACCTCGAGCTCATCTTCCAGGGGGTAGAATTTGGAGATAAAAAAGGGAAATTTTTTTTCTGGATCTGATCCCCTAATTTATTTTGTAGACCATCATGTCGTATACCCCGAGAGGTCAATCTCCTGCTGCGTCGGCTGATGGCGTGCCTCCCTCGTACGCTGGTGAGTTATTTTTGGCATATTTGGAAATTTACAAATTAGTCCTTTTTTTTTAGAAATTTGCAAAATAGTCATTTTTCCCCCACGTTGTTCTCCTTGGTGAGGCAATCGGGAAGAGTCTTGATTCTCCTTGGTGAGGATCGACGCTTTAAAGATAGGTTTTGCTTGGTCAAAACCATTCTCAAAATAAAGGGGGCGATTTGAAGTTGCATTGTGTTTTATAAGGCAGGGATATATTGTCGATATACCCTATCTTATGAATGCACAATGTGGCCAAATCGTCTCACCCTTTATAAGGCAATGACTCTATCTTACCCATTTGTAAGATGAGTTCAATTTCCTTTTATAACTGGAATTAACAAACGTTTAATTGCTTGTTTTCAGTGGAGTATCCTTCCGGAGCATTTTCATCTCATGCGGTGAACGGACGTCGTGACGAGTATTATTCGACGTCCGATGATTTTTCACCCATTCCACTTACTCTTCAGTTTGTTCTGGGCACGTCGACAGAGGTTGCCCAAGTGGTGAAGGAAGGTGGACATCGAGCTCTTCGACAGTTGATTACAGATGCGCCTTTCGTGAAGGATGCCAGTTCTGTTCAGTCTCTCAGGAAGACTGGTTTTTTATTTGGCGACTCTGTTAGAGATCCGGATGCAGTGTTTATTGACGCCGAGCAGTGGCTTCATAAGAATAGCGGTGGTTTCATATATTTGCCGAAGATTCCTCGACACCATTCGTTGACTAAGCTCAGGCGTCAGGCTGTAACACGGGAGATGTCGTGGCGCTTGACGGAGGAGCACGAGAGCATTCACTGTGGCTATATCACTCATCAGGCAGCTCCTGGTTCGAGTAGGAATCATATCATTGGATTGCGTCCTGGAGTACCGGGACTAGATGCACCGCCGCGTAATGAGTTTCTTGCCTCTGCTTCTACTTTGAGGAATCGCCTCGCTGACTTAGGACGGGAGATGCCTGCGACGCGTCATAGATTTTATGGCTGGGTCCATTCTGTAGACAAGCTTTGGTGGGCTCGCACGACAAAATACGTCTTAAGCCGATTGAGCGAGGAGTTGCACGCTTGTGGTCTATATGCAGCTATTTGTTCCACCATGTATGGCTTACCTGTCAGCGCTAAGCATTTCTTTGCTTTGTGTGAGCTCTATAACCCGGATTCGAACACTTTTCTGACTAGGCACGGAGAGGTGAGCTCTATAACCCGGATTCGAACACTTTTCTGACTAGGCACGGAGAGTTGGGCTTGGCTCTCCATGAGATGCACAAGATTTCTGGTTTGCCTATGGGTCAGATGTTATATCAGGAGTACTTTCCTTCCAACCATGAATTGAGTCAGCTGAAGGATCACATGCCCAACCGCTATGAGACTTTATGGGATCTCACATGTCACTATCATATTGCTTTGGCGCAGTCTGAGCCTTTAGCGAAGAGGACTAAATCACATGTGAGCCTGAAGCAGTTCGCGTCTTATTTGTTCAGAAATCTAGAGAGCAATTCTGGCGAGGCTATTTGTGAGCTGGCACCACTCACTCCTACAGGGGTTAATAGTCTACTGAAGAAGATTGACGCTCATTCCTATACCATTAGCAGTCCTGAGGGTGGCTTTCCTGCAAGGACCAAGTTTAAATCATTCTTATGGCATGCGACCGCACCGATTCGGCCGATGACCCTTCTCGCCGGTTACCTCGCTATCTGGTTAAAGAAATACGTGGTCCAGTATCAGTCCGGTGACACTTTGCCATTGGAAGTGCTCTACCCAGCGGTTCAACTTGCCTACAAAAAGGAAAGCTCGCCTACAAAAAGGAACTTTCGCTTCTTCCGGTGATGGTGGCTAACATTCATCGAGGGCTTCAACAGATTTCTAGTGCTTTTACACGGAAAGAGAGTGAATCGCCGGCTCAGATTCCTACTATTAAGATGGAGCTTCCGTACACTTATTTGATGGCTTGGTTCGTCCTTCATCGTTCGGATATGATGTCGGTACCTAACACCACAGACCGCTCTGTTCCCCTACTACAGTTGTTTGAGAATGGCAGGTGGGAGGGGCGAGGGTTCCCTGAAGTCAGGATCCCATCTTGGTCAAACCTTTAAACAGTTAGGACCAAAGCCAAAATCCCCTCTCGATTCGTTCCATGAACGAGAGGTCCACAAATTGAACGATCAAACCTTTAAACAGTTAGGATCGTCTCAAATTCCCATCTTGGTCAAACCTTTAAACAGTTAGGACCAAAGCCAAAATCCCCTCTCGATTCGTTCCATGAACGAGAGGTCCACAAATTGAACGATCAAACCTTTAAACAGTTAGGATCGTCTCAAATTCCCATCTTGGTCAAACCTTTAAACAGTTAGGACCAAAGCCAAAATCCCCTCTCGATTCGTTCCATGAACGAGAGGTCCACAAATTGAACGATCAAACCTTTAAACAGTTAGGATCGTCTCAAATTCCCATCTTGGTCAAACCTTTAAACAGTTAGGACCAAAGCCAAAATCCCCTCTCGATTCGTTCCATGAACGAGAGGTCCACAAATTGAACGATCAAACCTTTAAACAGTTAGGATCGTCTCAAATTCCCATCTTGGTCAAACCTTTAAACAGTTAGGACCAAAGCCAAAATCCCCTCTCGATTCGTTCCATGAACGAGAGGTCCACAAATTGAACGATCAAACCTTTAAACAGTTAGGATCGTCTCAAATTCCCATCTTGGTCAAACCTTTAAACAGTTAGGACCAAAGCCAAAATCCCCTCTCGATTCGTTCCATGAACGAGAGGTCCACAAATTGAACGATCAAACCTTTAAACAGTTAGGATCGTCTCAAATTCCCATCTTGGTCAAACCTTTAAACAGTTAGGACCAAAGCCAAAATCCCCTCTCGATTCGTTCCATGAACGAGAGGTCCACAAATTGAACGATCAAACCTTTAAACAGTTAGGATCGTCTCAAATTCCCATCTTGGTCAAACCTTTAAACAGTTAGGACCAAAGCCAAAATCCCCTCTCGATTCGTTCCATGAACGAGAGGTCCACAAATTGAACGATCAAACCTTTAAACAGTTAGGATCGTCTCAAATTCCCATCTTGGTCAAACCTTTAAACAGTTATGACCAAAGCCAAAATCCCCTCTTGATTCCTTCCATGAACAAGAGGTCCACCTTCGATTTGCGCAATCAAACCTATAAAAGTTAGGATTGCTTCCAATCTCAATTGATCAAACCTTATTCAGATTCTCTGAATAGAAATCCCAATTTAAATTTCCTTTGTACCAGGAGATAGAATATAAAATTCTTCCTCTCCGATTCTGGGTTTATCTCTACCAACAAACAAGAGACCGGGAGATAGAATATAAAATTCTTCTTCTCCAATTCTGGGTTTATCTCTACCAACAAACAAGAGACCAGGAGATAGAATATAAAATTCTTCCTCTCCGATTCTGGGTTTATCTCTACCAACAAACAAGAGACCAGGAGATAGAATATAAAATTCTTCCTCTCCGATTTTGGGTTTATCTCTACCAACAAACAAGAGATCAGGAGATAGAATATAAAATTCTTCCTCTCCGATTCTGGGTTTATCTCTACCAACAAACAAGAGACCAGGAGATAGAATATAAAATTCTTCTTCTCCAATTCTGGGTTTATCTCTACCAACAAACAAGAGACCAGGAGATAGAATATAAAATTCTTCCTCTCCAATTCTGGGTTTATCTCTACCAACAAACAAGAGACCAGGAGATAGAATATAAAATTCTTCCTCTCCGATTCTGGGTTCATCTCTACCAACAAACAAGAGACCAGGAGATAGAATATAAAATTCTTCCTCTCCGATTCTGGGTTTATCTCTACCAACAAACAAGAGACAAGGAGATAGAATATAAAATTCTTCCTCTCCGATTCAGGGTTTATCTCTACCAACAAACAAGAGATTGAGAAATGGAATATATAATTCTGTTTCTCTCCAATTTCGGGTTCATTTTCCTGTATAGGAAATATAACCTACTCTCATTCCAAAATCCATGTTGTTCACACATGGGGGAAGTTATCTCTATCCCTTATTAGAGATAAGCCTACATCTAACACATGTAGCCTACATATTCAATATGATAGTTCAAAGTCTAAAAGAGTTTAATTCTTTTAGCGCAACGTTATATGTGAAACGGACTTAGATAATTCACATACTAGCCCGATTCAAACGGTAATCGGTAAAGGCATATCAAATCCGTTGATGGCTGAGGATTTGCCAAAAATCCTATAAATATTATGATTATTTACTCTAAACAAGAATGAGTAGTCATAATAAAATCTCAATAAACAAGAAAGTTCACTGTATTAACCAAAAGAGTTCAAATAAAACAGCATAAAAAATAAATGTATGTTCTTAAAATTACAATAATTTATAGTGGCGGAGTTCATCTTCTAATTGGGAAAGCCTTGTCGCATAAGCCAGTTCGAGCTCAGGTATCAGATTGGCTTTAAATTTCCTTTCATCGATGCTGCGGATTTTGGCGGCTTCTTGTTCCTTGTCAGCAAAAATTTTGTCTTGAAGATTCAGTTGCCGTAATGTACTCACTTCAGCTTGAGTTACTTCCGCCAGATCAGACTCTAAAACTTCACAAGCTTCTCTAGCTTCAGCAAGTCTCTTTTCTAATTCGGCTACCACTGCCCGACGCGATTCCAAGTTACGATATAGATCTGCCTTGATTTGTGTCTTCTTGGAGGCGCTTACCCGAAGTTGATTAATACGAGTCTTCAGTATTTGAAGTTCGGATTCAACAGATTTCTGAGAATCACGCCATGCTTGTAGCCTCAGGTCCATTTCGGAAGTGATGTAAGAAGACGCGCCATTAGCTCGGAAATTCTGCAACTGCTTGATGTGTTGTTTAAGATCAACCAAATAAGCTTCAAGAGAGTTAGACAATTCGGCGCACCCCTGTTCTTTAATTCCTGACACATGATGATCGAGAGACTTCTGGAAAAGTTCAAATGGTGAACCTTTAAGGAGAATCCGATCAACCATGGCGTTTAAGAAAAGAATGAAGCTTTGGATGTCAATGCAAAGGGCAATTTTGTCCGGATCTTCATCTGCCAATAAAGCTCGAATGCAATCGGACAATGATGAAGAAAGATCTGCAAGGAGAAATAGATATAAAATATACACGTTCGCATACGGTAATGAGTAGAATTATCCCAAATTCAAAGTGTGATTACCTTGACTTGTCGAGGCTGAGACCTGCTCCACGACATCCGAAGTTTGTGTAGAGGTAATGCTGGGCGGTGGATTCATTACGTCAAGCTGTTGTTCAATTACAATTCTTGACGACTTCGGGTCTAAGTCGCCAAGATCTTGAGGAGCATGTTCTGTCAATGAGAAAAGAATGAATAAACACTCCGCAAGTATTAATCTAACTGGGAAGCACAATTAGATAAGACGTACCAAGTTGAGCTGAGGTAGCAGGAGGTTGCTCTTCTACCGTAACATTCGACCCTCCTACTTCATGATCCACTGGAATCGGAGTGAAAGGCACAACAGGTCCAGCTTCGATAATAGCAGAAGTTGGAGGAGCAGTGGCTGGTGGTTCAACTTCAGCTGGGGGACTTACCAGAAGTAAGAAACCCAGACCTTCAGGTTGATCACATTCACCGATGACGGTAGACGCATCAACTTCGTTAGTTGGTCCTACGTCTAAAATTTTTATTTCAGTCCTTCAAGAACAATAACAGATGAAAGTGCAGTTGAAAACTGGAGTCTAAAAGAGTATACCTTTTGATGCATCTACTTCAGCTGAATCAACTCGAGTAGTTGGTCCTGCAGTAGCGGATGGAACCAGAGTTGATAGTATATCGGAGATCTCTTGGTGTACATCTTCAGAAATGTCAAGATCGAAGTCTCGCTCATCGAAATCTCCGATACCCATATCATGGGTAAGTTCTATGTCTTTCGGTTCGTTGACAGGAAGGTCTATTAAGCAGAAGAATCCGTCAACATATATGCAAGAAATATGAAAGAATCAAAGCAAACAAAATAAGGTTACCTTCAATAACAATTGCGGGGTCAGCAGCGCTATTATCTGCACTCACCTCCTTTAGTTTAACTAAAAGAAGATAAAGCGCACAAGTTAGTAGGAGAGGAACACGTTCCGATTCACTTATCTTCCGGAAATGCCCCCCAAATGAGAAAACATCTGTACCTGTGTCGGCAGTTGGTGAGGTCGATGTAGTGACCGGAGGAGGGGCAGTGTCCACATTGAGGGGTTCTTCACTCATCGCTTTTTGCACCTGTTGAGTGAAGCTGGACTCATCAACATCCATTAAACCCGGAGAAGAAGGCTCGGGCACGATTTCCCCTTCCTCTTCTGGCTCAGCTATAATGGCAAAGAGAGAAATAAGATGCTATATTCAAAGATGAAATAATGAAAAAGAAACAAGAATGAGATCTTACCCCCTCGATCAATCGGAATATCCTGAGTAAACTCTTCTTCAGGCAACGAGGAGAGTTGACGTTGTCGATGAGCCATCTTCTTAACCCTTTTCGAAGCACGAGAATCTCGAGGAATTCCGGAGCTCTCATGGCGAAACTTGGAACGCAATTCAGACCCTTGAACAGGGCTGGGTTGAACTTCAGAAGAGGCAGAAGATCGGGATCTCTTTCTGCTAACAAGCGGGGTGGCATCTTCCTCTTCTTCTTCTTCTTCCTCTTCAAGCGCAGACCATCTGACTGTCATCTTGTTAGAAGACGATAAGGGAATATTCTTCTCCATCATTCAAATACCCTTAGAAGGAGCACCGGGTGATTTGGGTGAAGAAGCTCGACGAGTCCTATGAGCCACGGGAGACAGAGGGACATCAGCCTCTGCTTCATCTCTACTCTCACCCTCTTCACTGGATGTTTCAAAGTCGTCACTTTCTTCAGAATTAGCTACCTATTTTCCTTTGCGGGAAGATGTAGCAGGTTCCTTTCTTTTTTTAGATACAATTCTCCGAACCACGGCCTCGGATTCCAGTTCGGAAAGCTTCTTCTTCGCAAGAGGAGTGTTAGCGGCTAAAATCCACCAGCAATAAACAAAGGTCATGTGGAGTTCAGGCTCAGCAACAGGCAGACTAAACTGAGCTCCGGTACAGCCGGCAACATTCCAGAACCAAGCTCGTACTCCTTCAATGAGGCTCCCGCAGGTTATCAACCATTTGTTGGGATTCCCGACGTACAGTTGATCGTAGCCGAATTGTCGCGCAAAACAGCAAGGAAAATAAGGCTCAATCCTACAAAGGTTCTTCGACCGAAAAACATTATAGCCTGGGCGAATGTTCATGAGCCAATGGAAGCTACCCACGTCGAGAGAAGTCCTGTTAGCTCCAGGCATTTCCTCGTCAACGAGTGTATCATTATAGGCACCAGAAAACTGAGGGAAACACTTGTAAAATTCCCAGCACTTGGCATTCTTGAATTGCCTCACCCGGTCAATCCACGGTCGGGAAGGATATAACCACTTACATCCTTCTAAGAGCTGCAACAAGGGGATTTCTGGATCAGACGCGTCAGGTGCTGACATCATGTCCGCTCGATGGAGAACTAGCCACGCCATTAAATATGTGTACGGCAGTTCGACACTCGACAATGGAATTTTAATTGAAGGCTCGGTACCCACTTTGGTAAAAGTGGTAGCTAGGTTACGCAAACCGCTATGGAGGTCAGCAATCATAGCGGAGAGTAAGGATAACCTACCTCCAACGGCTAGTTGCACGGCGGGAAGAAGAACCTCAAGAGGAAGCGCCTCGGAAGACTGATGCGGCACTACACATTTCTTTAGCCATATGGCCAGATAACCAGAAAGAAGAGTCGCAGGCTTCATTCTCTTGGTGGCTTGCCATAAGAAAGTGCTGAATTTAGTGCCCCTAAGAAAACCGCCTTCAGACGACTCGGTTCTATAAGATTGGGCATTAATCTTCGTAATCAGCCTGTTAACGTTAGAAGGGGTCAGAATCAGTGATTCGCAGACAGCTTCACCGGTCGGGCTCTCGAGATTCTGAAACAAATAGTCAGCGAACTGATTTAAACTGACTCGAGCTGCCTTCTTACTCTTTACTTCAATCTTGGCTATCGCTATTTGATAGTGACAAGTTAATTCCCAGAGTATGTCATAAGCAGGAGAGCCAGCCTTCTTCATCTTCATGAGCTGACGATTGTTGGGAAAATATTCTTGATAAGGAGTGTTCCCCAATGGCAGTCCAGATACTTGCATCATTTCGTGGAGCGGAAGCCCTAACTCCCCATATTTGGTAAGAAATGTATTGGCCTCCGGAATATAAGACTCAAACAAAGCAAGGAAATGATCTACGCTGACTAGAAGACCATGCATGCTGGCTCGGATCGGAGCATATAACCCCAAATTCCTTAACTCTTGATCCCAACGATTGAGTACATACTTGGTCATCCTAGACCACCATTTGTCGGGAAGAGAATGAACCCATCCATAACATCTAAATTTCGGAATGGGGAGTTCTCGGCCAACCCGAGCGAGCCTATTGGGGCCCGCTATCTGGTCCAAATATCCCTGGGTGAAGGCCACGGACATTATGCCTGCCAATGGAGCCAGGAGCACTGACATCTTTGCCAATAAATCCACAATGGATATGCTCATGGTCTTCTGTTAGATGCCACGCCATTTTTCTCGAAACAGCCAGATTCCTTAATTGCAGAATTGAATATTGACAAGGGAATGGAGGAAGAAATAGAAAAGAACCTTCATGCTCATTCAACCAAATTTCAGAGCCACGACAGAGAGTATTTTGGAGCAAAAGAGGCTAGAGCTTTAAGTGATTTTGAAGAAGAGAGAGAACTTTCACCCTTTGACAAGTATCATTCGGTGATTCCTAGAGATCTAAGCTCAGACTTGATCTTTGGAAGAACGGACATCTTACATCGATAAGATATTCGTTTTCTAATCTTTACTTCGATAAACGAAGGAGAGATCCCTAAGCACCCTCACGATCTTTGAATCGGTGGTCAACGAGCCAAAGCACTCACGGCATAGGCAAAGTCCCACAAAGCAGGAGTTGATAGACAATTTCTGTGTTATTTTCTCGAGAGTTGTATTTTTACTTATTTTCATTATAATTTCCTGTAAACACATCAAAGTTTTAATGGAATCGATAATGGAGTCAACTTTCGCTGAAAACAAACTGGCGACCATAGTGGGTATATGAGGTTAAACTGTTTCCCGAACACTCCGATGAGTATATGAGTATAAACTGCATCTCCTTGCTGCAGTGTCGCAGCCGATCAAAATCATCGTCACTGAAGAGATCGAATACGAATTCGATCAAGCAAAATTTGAGGAATACTTGTCATCCTCATCCTCAAAATCTTCCTCGTCCCGCAAGTGCAGGAAGATTTCTTCTTCAAAGAAGGTTTCCAAGTCTCCAATTCAGATGAAGACCGTAGATGAAGATTCTTGCCAAGTCATCGCCAAGGAATCTCTCTGCAACATCTCTGTTCCTAAGAACTCTGCACCAATTAAAGAGTCATTAAATCATGGCCAGCCGATAATGACAAAGAGGGCTCGTCAAAGACAGCGCCAGCGTCGCGCTCGTCAATTGGCTAAGGCTATGCAACAAACCGACGGAGTCCATTACTATACGAACTTAAAGTCGAGAAAGCAAAAGGTGAACCAATTGCCTCAACAGCAAACCAATCACATCTCTGCACAGCTTACGACGGAGGAATGGACTCTGGTCAAAAGAGCCCGTTCTACTCTCAAAGAGCGTATACAAAGGCGTCAGCGGCTAAGGCGCGACAGCACATAGTGCCGCGGCTAAGGCGCGGCAGCCTGTTGTGTCGCGGCTTAGGCGCTGCAACCTAGGGTGCCGCGGCTATGTTAAAGGAGTGCTGTGGCGGTTACAAGACAGTTATATGATGATTTTTTGAGTCCTACGTGGCAGCATATCAAAAATAGAACGTGTGCTGACGTGGACAAGCAGTTAAACCACGAAAAAAGTGGTTAAAGGTCGTGGGAGAACGGTTTTAAGCACGATGGAACGTGCTGATAACCGTCTCTTTATCACCGTCGCAAAGCCACATCTGCAGTTGATCCTGGCCCTTCTACTACAGCATCACCAGTGGAACCCTGGGTTAGCCCAGATTTGTCTAAATTCAAAATCACTATGGCGGATCGCCTCGGTCCTTCGGCTGATGATCGAGGCAAAGCCCCAGTTAAAGAAGATCCAAGTCCAGCAAACAAACCCTTAGTGGTTTCCTATACAGGGGGTCGTAAACACCCTCCTGTTAGAATTGCACCAGTCCTGAACGAGAGAATACCAGTTCACTCTCGTTTAGGACCTCTGAAAACTCCACACCCGCAAGGGGGTGGATTTAAAAATTCAACTTTGGATCACTCAGAGGCGACGACCAGTCGTCCTGTGCATGTTAACAAAGTTCAAAAGCAAAAGATAGGTTGCTCAAATCACAATAATGATGAGCTGTACTATCAGAAAAATGACTCAAGAAAGAGGATTGCCCGAGAAGATGAGTCCCATTGCGCATGCGAGAGACTCATTAAGGCAGTATTGACGGAATGCGGTTGCTCTAAAAATAATTCAACAAGAGTATCCGTATTTCAAAGATTGTCCAACGAAGCGTCAAGACCCAAGACAAGACTTTTCAACAAGAAGAAATCTGTAATCCGACAGGATGAGTTCCCTGAGGTCACTATCAACATGACCAACAAGGGAAAGCAAAAGTCTGTTAACCACGACCCTGATTTCTCTCCGGGAGGGAGAGTTGAGCGGGGTCTTTCTCAAAGGATGTCACGGCTACAAAGAAGAGCCAACTTACGTCGAGATTACAAGAGAATGCACGAGGGTTTATCTTCAGATGAAGAATTGTCGGACACTTGTTCCGCTATTGCATCGGACGATACCGCGTCCAGTGTTGGACGAGTCAGAGAATCGTTCGCGATCACGCCGGATCAACTGGCTCATATCCTGCAGGAGGCGTTGGCTAAACAACGCGAAGAAATTAGAGCTGAGTTCAAAACCGAAATAGAATTGACTATGCAGCAGATGCGAGACTTGCAGGTTCAGCAACACCAACCGGAGTCGAGCCAGAAAGCGGAATCCAGCCGGCGTAATGAAGAGGATGAGACTATCTTTGATGATCCTCCTCCAGCTAAAGACAACTCCGGAAGCGGTCCGACCAAATCATCCACTCAACCTCCACAGATCTACTTAAAGAAAAGTGAGGAAGAGGATAAGAAGATGCATGATCTCGAGAGCAAAGTCAACGCTCTGATGACGGCTCAGGAAGTGAAGAAAACGGGCATTCCATACCCGTACCCGAGGGAGTGGGACCTGATTCCTTATCCCCAGAAATTTAATTTGATTAACTTTACTCCTTTTGATGGCAGGGGTTCACCAACTCAGCACTTGATCTATTTCAAGTCGCATCTCGGCGCAATATCCGGGAACGAAGCCCTGATGGTCCGGTCATTCGTAGGAACCCTTCGCGGGCCTGCCTTCGATTGGTACCGACGCCTTAAGCCTGGGAGTATCACTAGCTGGGCAGACATGGAAGAGTTATTCCTCACCAATTTCTTCGACGACGACACAGAAGTCTCAATTGGCACGTTGTTGGATGAGAAGCAGAAGGATGGGGAATCGGTTGATGTCTTTGTCAAACGATTCCGGGACAAAGCGGTGAACTGCAGAGATCCACTCACTGAGGAATTTATTCTGCAAACATGTCATAATAATCTGTCCTTGGATGTATTAGAAGTGGTGGGGGTTGTTCCCTCTAAAACTTGGAAAGAGATGAAAGTAAGAGGTGAACAAGCTGAACGCTTCCTCAAGAGAAAGAATTTGGAGCGAGGTTTGCCACCAGCTAATAATCAGAATCAAAATCAAAAGCAGAACTTTAACCCTCGAGGCAGAGGAAGAGGGTCTGTAGCCGCTGTGGACGCACATCAGACGTCACAACAGCCACCGCAACAACCGCAACAATCATCCTTCCAGTTGGCGCCAGAAGATTAATGACCCGAAATACTGTGCATATCACAGAAGGGTCCACCATCCAACTAAGACGTGTTATGTCTTAAAAGACAAAATACAAACCTTAATTGATGTTGGCATCGTGACACCGAAGCCGAAAGAGAAGAAAGTAGGTGCAAATGCGGTGTCTATTAGCTTCGGATCAGTTCCTTTATCCTGGTTTCAAGCCGAACCAGTATCCAAGGTAAAAATACAAACCATTAACGATGACCCTCATGGACAGCGCCAGAAGGGGCTTGTATCTCACACAACCCCCAACGGCGAAATCATTTGGGTTCATCCGGATTTGCTTGAAGATGAACAGTGGACAATATCCACATCGAAGAAGAAGGTAAAAGGCAAAGGGAAGTCTTGTTACGGAGCCTCGGTGATTCCCGAGGAGAACAATGAAGAGATCCCAGTCCTACCACTTTCCGAAGGAGAACAGGAATCTTTTATTACTAAGAGTGGAAATGAATACTGTTTCAACCACCCGTATGCATCCGAGCAATTAGCCGAGCAGGGGGTAGTGAAAGCTGTACCTTCTAAAACTCTGATGGAGCTGGGGGTGATTATAAGTCCACCGGTAGCAACCGAGAAGCCTCAAAGAATTGATAAGCAAAAGGAGAAAGAACCTCAATACAAAGAGGTTCAGGTTCTGAGGCAGTCTCGTTTCGATCGATCGATTGGACTAGATAAACCGGAAAGCTCGAACATTTCATACCACTTCGATGTTATGACCCAATTGGCTAACATCCCAGTGAAAGTAACTCTACACGAGTTATCATGTCTTTCTAAAAACACTAGAGATGCGTTCACCATTACTCCTGACCAGCTCACTCAAATAGTTCAAGAAGCGTTAATCAAGCAGAAGGAAGAATTTGAGGGTAAAATGGAATTGGCTATGCGACAAATAAGAGAGTTGCAAGCGGAAAGGTGTAGATTTCCTAAATCTGACCATCAAGCTGGGTCTAGCTGTTGCGCTACACCAATCACGCCTATTTCAGGTAAGACAAATAACGAGGGTCCGAATCTGAATATGGTCATCAAGACTGATTCACCCATCGATAACACTGGGGGTGGTACGACCACATCCTTCAATGATACTGGGGGTGGCCCAATTCCTTCTTCTCGACATCGCTCAAAAAGATATGAAGATGAAAATGAAAAGCAGAAAGAAATCGAGTCTGTCACCACCTCAATTAGGCGCTGTCCCAAAAGAAAAACAGTTGAGGAAAGTCAACTAGAGTTCTTACCCAGATTTGCTGTTGATCAAACACCACGACGACAATCACGGGAACGGTCACCCCAACAGTCACGTCAGATACCACGATACTCCTTCAAAGACGATGATGTTCCAGTCATCCTCAAATATCTTCTAGAAAATGACAAAATCAAACTTCCACCTATAAAAAATCAAGAGGAAACTAGCGGGATTGCTGACCCGAAATATTGTGAGTACCACAGGAGGATTCTTCATCCCACAGAGAAGTGCGTTTTCCCCTAACTCCGAAGAGTATACGAGTATAAACTGCTTCTTCATGTCACTCCGAAAAGTATAAGAGTATAAACTGCTTCTTCTAAAACTCCAACGGGTATAGGAGTATAAAGTGTTTCCCTTGTATATATCGGGAAGTTCCCAGAAGAATATTGTATGCGGTATTCTTAGGGATAACCCAATCACTGTAAAAGTGATAAATAAGACATTTACATTTAAACCCTAAATGTTAGAATGTTTTCTTTTGCCAAATTCACTAACTCTCATGAGTTACTTTGTTGAGATGAGATTCAATTCTGTAAACAGTTAATCTTTCCTCACAAAACCCCTCACCGATCAAATCGATCGACGAAGGGTACACCAAAATCTGTCATGGATTAAAATCATTTAAACTCCCACATTTCATTTGGTCAAACCTTACTCAGTTAGGACCAAAGCCAAAATCTCCTCTCGATTCCTTCAATGAACGAGAGGCCCACAAATCGAGCGATCAATTAGGATCATTTCAAAACTCTCACTAGGTCAAACCTTACTCAGTTAGGACCACAACCAAAATCTCCTTTCGATTCATTTTACGAACGAAAGGTCCACTTTTCAACTGAATAACCAAACCTTATGACAGTTAGGATTATTCAAACCAATCCAGATTCTCTAAACGGAGTTCCCACTTTGAGTTTCTTTTCACCAGGAGATTTTTTGCGAACGAAAGGTTTACTTTTGAATTGAGTAATCAAACCTTATGACAGTTAGGGTTATTCAAACCAACCTATTTTCTCTAAGTGGAGATTCCACTGTGAGTTTCCTTTTCATCAGGAGATAGAATATAAAATTCTCCCTCTCCGATTCTGGGTTTATCTCTACCAACAAACAAGAGACCAGGAGATAGAATATAAAATTCTTCCTCTCCGATTTTGGGTTTATCTTTACCAACAAACAAGAGACCAGGAGATAGAATATAAAATTCTTCCTCTCCGATTCCGGGTTTATCTCTACCAACAAACAAGAGATTGAGAAATGGAATATACAATTCTTTTTCTCCCAATTCTGGGTTCATTTTCCTGTATAGGAAATATAACATACTCTCATTCCAAAATCCATGTCGTTCACACATGGGGGAAGTTATCTCTATCCCTTATTAGAGATAAGCCTACATCTAACACATATAGCCTACATATTCAATATGATAGTTCAAAGTCTAAAAGAGTTTAATTCTTTTAGCACAACGTTATATGTGAAACGGACTTAGATAATTCACATACTAGCCTGACTCAAACGGTAGTCGGTAAAGGCATATCAAATCCGTTGATGGCTGAGGATTTGCCAAAAATCCTATAAGTATTATGGTTATTTATTCTAAACAAGAATGAGTAATCATAATAAAATCTTAATAAGCAAAAGAGTTCACTGTATTAACCAAAAGAGTTTAAGCAAAACAGCATAAAAAAAATAAATGTATGTTCTCAAAATTACAATAATTTGTAATGGCAGAGTTTATCTTCTAATTGGGAAAGCTTTGTCGCATAAGCCAGTTCGAGCTCAGGTATCAGATTGGCTTTAAATTTCCTTTCATCGATGCTGCGGATTTTGGCGGCTTCTTGTTCCTTGTCAGCAAAAATTTTGTCTTGAAGATTCAGTTGCCGTAATGTACTCACTTCAGCTTGAGTTACTTCCGCCAGATCAGACTCTAAAACTTCACAAGCTTCTCTAGCTTCAGCAAGTCTCTTTTCTAATTCGGCTACCACTGCCCGACGCGATTCCAAGTTACGATATAGATCTGCCTTGATTTGTGTCTTCTTGGAGGCGCTTACCCGAAGTTGATTAATACGAGTCTTCAGTATTTGAAGTTCGGATTCAACAGATTTCTGAGAATCACGCCATGCTTGTAGCCTCAGGTCCATTTCGGAAGTGATGTAAGAAGACGCGCCATTAGCTCGGAAATTCTGCAACTGCTTGATGTGTTGTTTAAGATCAACCAAATAAGCTTCAAGAGAGTTAGACAATTCGGCGCACCCCTGTTCTTTAATTCCTGACACATGATGATCGAGAGACTTCTGGAAAAGTTCAAATGGTGAACCTTTAAGGAGAATCCGATCAACCATGGCGTTTAAGAAAAGAATGAAGCTTTGGATGTCAATGCAAAGGGCAATTTTGTCCGGATCTTCATCTGCCAATAAAGCTCGAATGCAATCGGACAATGATGAAGAAAGATCTGCAAGGAGAAATAGATATAAAATATACACGTTCGCATACGGTAATGAGTAGAATTATCCCAAATTCAAAGTGTGATTACCTTGACTTGTCGAGGCTGAGACCTGCTCCACGACATCCGAAGTTTGTGTAGAGGTAATGCTGGGCGGTGGATTCATTACGTCAAGCTGTTGTTCAATTACAATTCTTGACGACTTCGGGTCTAAGTCGCCAAGATCTTGAGGAGCATGTTCTGTCAATGAGAAAAGAATGAATAAACACTCCGCAAGTATTAATCTAACTGGGAAGCACAATTAGATAAGACGTACCAAGTTGAGCTGAGGTAGCAGGAGGTTGTTCTTCTACCGTAACATTCGACCCTCCTACTTCATGATCCACTGGAATCGGAGTGAAAGGCACAACAGGTCCAGCTTCGATAATAGCAGAAGTTGGAGGAGCAGTGGCTGGTGGTTCAACTTCAGCTGGGGGACTTACCAGAAGTAAGAAACCCAGACCTTCAGGTTGATCACATTCACCGATGACGGTAGACGCATCAACTTCGTTAGTTGGTCCTACGTCTAAAATTCTTATTTCAGTCCTTCAAGAACAATAACAGATGAAAGTACAGTTGAAAACTGGAGTCTAAAAGGGTATACCTTTTGATGCATCTGCTTCAGCTGAATCAACTCGAGTAGTTGGTCCTGTAGTAGCGGATGGAACCGGAGTCGATAGTATATCGGAGATCTCCTGGTGTACATCTTCAGAAATGTCAAGATCGAAGTCTCGCTCATCGAAATCTCCGATACCCATATCATGGGTAAGTTCTATGTCTTTCGGTTCGTTGACAGGGATGTCTATTAAGCAGAAAAATCTGTCAACATATATGCAAGAAATATGAAAGAATCAAAACAAATAAAGTGAGATTACCTTCAACAATAGTTGCGGGATTAGCAGCGCTACTACCCGCACTCACCTCCTTTAGTTTAACTAAAAGAAGATAAAGCGCACAAGTTAGTAGGAGAGGAACACGTTCTGATTCACTTATCTTCCGAAAATGTCCCCCAAAGGAGAAAACATCAGTACCTGTATCTGCGGTTGGCGAGGTCGATGTGGTGGCTGGAGGAGGAACAATGTCCATATGAAGGGGTTCCTCGTTCATAGCCTTGTGCACTTGTTCAGTGAAGCTAGATTCATCAACATCCATTAAACCCGGAGAAGAAGGCTTGGGCACGATTTCCCCTTCCTCTTCTGATTCAACTGCAATGATAAAAGAATAAATGCGACGCCTTATTCAAAAAAAAAATAAGATAACAGAAAGGAGATGAAGATGAAACTTTACCCCTTTCATCAACTGGAAGATCCTGAGTAAACTTCTCCTCAAATAACGGAGAAAGTTGGCGTTCCCGATGAGCCGTCTTTTTAATCCTCTTCGAGGCACGAGAATCTCGAGGAACCTCGGAGCTTTCATGTCGAAACTTGGTACGTAATTCGGTTCCTTGAGTCGGCTGAGGTTGAACCTCAGAAGGAGCAGTAAGCCGAGATCTTTTCCTGTTAATAAGCGGGGCAACCTCTTCTTCCTCTTCTTCTGCCTCTCCCTCCTGAGAAAGCCATCTCAAGGTCATCTTGTTGGAGGACGACAGGGGAATGTTCTTTTCCTTCATTTGTATACCTTTTGAAGGAGCACCGGGTAATTTGGGCGAAGAAGCTCGACGAGTCCTGTGAGCCACGGGAGACAAAGGTACATCACCCTCTGCGTCGCCTCGGGTCTCATCCTCTTCGCTGGATGTCTCGAAGTCGTCGCTCTCTTCGGAATCAGCTACCTGTTTTCCTTTACGAGAAGACGTAGCGGGCTCCTTTCCTTTTTTTGATACAATTCTCCGAACTACAGCCTCGGATTCCAGTTCGTGGAGCTTCTTCTTCGCAAGAGGAGTATTGGCGGCTAAAATCCACCGGCAGTAGAGGAAGGTTAAGTAAAGACCAGGCTCAGCGACAGGCAAACTAAATCGAGCTCCGGTACAGCCAGCAACATTCCAGAACCAGGCACGTACCCCATCAATAAGGCCTCCGCAGTTTATCAACCATTTATTGGGATTCCCGATATACAATTGATCGTAGCCGAATTGTCGCGCAAAACGGCAAGGAAAATAAGGCTCAATCCTGCAAATGTTCTTCGATCGAAAAACATTATAGCCTGGGCGAATGTTCATGAGCCAATGAAAACTACCCGTATCGAGAGAGGTCCTGTTAGCCCCAGGCATTTCCTCGTCAACAAGCGTGTCATTATAGGCACCAGAAAACCGAGGGAAACACTTATAGAATTCCCAGCATTTGGCATTCTTGAATTGCCTCACACGGTCAGTCCATGGTCGGGAAGGATATAACCACTTACATCCTTCTAAGAGCTGCAGCAAGGGGATTTCTGGATCAGACGCATCAGGCGCTGACATCATGTCCGATCGATGGAGAACTAGCCACGCCATCAAATAGGTGTACGGAAATTCGACGCTCGACAAAGGAATCTTAGTTGAAGGCTCGGCACCCACTTTGGTAAAGGTGTTGGCTAGGTTACGCAAACCGCTATGGAGGTCAGCAATCATAGCAGAAAGAAGAGATAACCTGCCTCTGACAACTAGTTGCACGGCGGGAAAGAGAACTTCAAGAGGAAGCGCCTCAGAAGACTGATGCGGCACTACACATCTCTTTAGCCAAATGGCCAGATAACCGGAAAGAAGAGTTGCAGGCTTCATTCTCTTTGTGGCTTGCCACAAGAAAGTGTTGAACTTGGTGCCCTTAAGAAAACCACCTTCAGATGACTCAGTTCTGTAAGACTGAGCATTAATCTTCGTGATTAGCTGGTTGACGTCAGAAGGGGTCAGAATCGGTGATTCACAGACTTCTTCACCGGTCGGGCTCTCAAGGTTCTGAAATAGGTAGTCGGCGAACTGTTTTAAACTGACTCGAGCCGCCTTCTTACTCTTCACTTCAATCTTGGCTATCGCTATCTGATAATGACAAGTTAACTCCCAGAGGATGTCATAAGCAGGAGAGCAGGCCTTCTTCATTTTCATCAACTGACGATTATTAGGAAAATATTCTTGGTAAGGAGTATTCCCCAATGGCAATCCGGATACCTTCATCATTTCGTGGAGCGGAAGCCCTAATTCCCCATACTTGGTAAGAAAGGTATTGGTCTCCGGAATATAAGACTCGAACAAAGCCATAAAATGATCTGCACTCACTGGGAGACCATGCATACTAGCTCGGATTGGAGCATATAATCCCAAATCCCGCAACTCCTGATCCCAACGATGGAGTACGTATTTGGTCATCCTAGCCCACCATTTGTCAGGAAGAGAATGAACCCATCCATAACACCTGAATCTTGGAATGGGAAGTTCTCGACCAACCCGAGCGAGCTTATTCTTTACGGTATTGGCCCTTATCATCAGTTCGTTTTGGGGCCCACCATCTGGTCCAAATATACCAGGGTGAAGACCACGAACATCAGGCCTACCGACAGAGCCAGGAGCGCTAAT